TGGAGACAACACAGGGATAGGTACAAACAAAGTAGACTGAAAGGAATCTTAGTGGGAGAGAGTGCCAGACCCTGGATACAAAGATTGGCAAAAACATTCCCTGTTGTTAAGAAACTTACACTATAATAGTGTAGACAGCACAGGAATAGGTACATACGGAGCAGACTGAAAGGAATCTTAGTGGAACAGCTGCTGAGGATTCAACAGCTGGAGGTGCCAAGAAAGGCCTCCTGCATAACTTAGCATTTGAGCTGAGTCTTCAAGGAAGCCAGGGGTTCTTGGAGATGGAGAATTTATGGAATGCAGAGCATTCTAGCAACAGGGTGTCAATGTAAAGGCACAGTAGATGGAATTCCATTCCTGAGGAAGAGTAAGGGCTTTTCCTTGACCAGTAGGGCTCGATCATAGAGTAATTGGAGGGAAGTCAAGAATGAGAAGACTATGATGGTAGAAAAGTGCCAAACAAAGGACTTTCTATTTGATATTCAACGGAAGAGGGAACCATTGGCTTTTATTATAATGACCCCCATACTGTCTGCCAGAAAATTTCCTTTAATATCCTTGATCAGTCTTTGTTTCTTAAGAGAAAAATTTAGAGAAACAAGAAATTAATGCAAACACAGCCCTTTATTAAGGATTCTCCTGCTCCCTTAATAGCTACACCTAAAAAGAAAGGTGCTAGTAAGTACTTTCCATTTTTGTAAGCAGTGGTGATATTGGTGGGGATAATAAGAATGGAAGGTAGGGAATGAATAGGAGAAAGATCTAGGAGGAAGAATGGAAAGAATTTGATGACTGACAAATTAACTAGTATGTGTAAGGGAAAGGGAATCCTTCCCTGCCTGGTTTTGTTGGATTTTTTTTTTTGAGATCCTGAAATCAAATTATTCACTTCAAACATCAATCCATTTACTCCTTTTTTGCTTTATGGAGTGGCCCTTTCTTTCCCAATTAGACAGAGGTATTTTATCGATGAATTTTCTTTATCACTGCCTGTCTTGCCTCTTAGGAATATACTAAGTTCTCTTGATCAAGTAAGAGAGATTTATATAACACAACCACAATTTCCTGGAAGAATTGATTCCTGATGCCACCATTATAATTTTGTAGGAAGTTTAAGGGAAACAAACTTTTATGCCATAAACAGAGGATAGTTACTTCACTACAGCACCAAGAGATGTTGAACTGTAAAACTTGGTATTGCAAGATTATACAAGTAGCAAATGTGGCTTAATACTCTCAGGGAAGTTGTCCGGCCTCTTGGAGATCCTCATGTTCCATACCACACTTGCTACCATTCACCATTTTATCTCAAGGCCACTATGTTTCTGTTTATGGCAGGGGACATGGTAATGAGAGTTGAATAGTAAGGGGAAATTGATCTAGTAAGGCATTTCTTCACATTTATCTTCTTCATTGGGAACAAACCCAAGTTTCACTCATAATGGCATTAATTCATTCATTCATTCATTCATTCATTGATTCAGTCTTCATTTGACATAAGGCACTATGCCAGTTACTACTATGGAATACAGAGATGAAATAAGACATCAGCCTTACTGTCTCCAGACACAAACATTAATTTTAATTATGAAATAGATCAGGGATGAGGAACTTGCAGCTTCAAGGCCTCTTGTGGCCCTCTAGGTGCTCAAGAGCAGCCCTCTGAAGTTTGGGTTTGGTCAAAGATTCCTTACCCCTGAAATGGATCTTTAACACTATGATATTTGAAACTTACAAATAAAATAAACTTGAATAACAATAAGAGTAAAAATTAGAGATCACAAGAGGCTGTGTGGCATAATAGTGAGGGCCATTTTGGTAATCAAGAAGACCTGGGTTCCACTTCTGTCTCTGACACACATTAGTTGTGCAACCATGCCCC